TCCCAGTTTCACAGAATAGTGTCCCCTTAATAGTGGTGCCCCAAAAAGGAAGGGTTCTTGGTGAAAACGGATTTTTGTGTGTTGGTCACGTATTTTTATCGTATTCATAATTTTACCGAGGAACTGTAACTTTTTCATTTGGAGATAAAACAGGGGGCGGATCTAGGTTCACATTTAGGGGGGGGGGTCACAATATTTTCATAAAAACGCCAAAATATGGGGGCCTGGTTCCTCCCCCGGGAAAATTTTGATTCTTAGATGGCGGGAAATGAGCTTTCCAGACTTCTGAGTTGTCTTTTAATGACTTTTAAGTTCTTTAAAATTCAAGGTTTTCCCCTCTTGAAAAAGGTCAGGCAAATTTTCTCATTCTTATTACAGAAAATAGGCCAATTTATGTGTGTATACGTACATAAAAAAAAATTGAGTTGCTTACGTATTTTTTTTCCATGAATGGATAACTCCAAAGAGGAAGGGGGATCCGGGGGTACAACCCCGGGAAAATTTTGATCACTAGATGGCAGGAAATGAGCTTTTCCGTCTTTTGAGGTGTATTTTAATGACTTTTAAGTTCTTCAAAATTCAAGGTTTTTCCCTTCTTGAAAACGGTCAGGTAAACTTTCTTATTCTTATTACAGTAAATAGGCCTATTTATGTGTGTATACGTACATTAAAAAAATTGAGTTGCTTACGTATTCTTTTTTCCATGAATGAATAACCCCAAAGAGGAAGGGGGATTCGGGGTAAAACCCCGGGAAAATTTTGATCACTAGATGGCAAGATATGAGCTTTTCCGACTTTTGAGGTGTCTTTTAATTACTTTTAAGTTCTTCAAAATTCAAGGTTTCCCCCTCTTGAAAACGGTCAGTTAATCTTTCTCATTCTTATTACAGTAAATATATAGGCCTATTTATGTGTGCATTATACGTACATTAAAAAAATTGAGTTGCTACGTATTCTTTTTTCCATGAATGGATAACCCCAAAGAAGAAGGGGGTCCGAGGGCCCCCTCCGGGAAAAATTTGATCACTAGATGGCAGGAAATGAGCTTTCCCAACATCTGAGGTGACTTTTAATGACTTTTAAGTTCTTTAAATTTTAAGGGTTTCCTCCGCTTGAAAACGGTCGGGTAAACTTCTCATTGTTATTAATGTAAATACAGTAGCCATACTATGTGTGTATGTACAGTACATAACGAAAATTGAGTCGCTGCATACATATTCGTTTTCAATAAATCGATGAACCCCAAATAAAACGGTGGTTGGGGGTCCTTCTGAAGTGTCTTTTAATCAAAATTCAAGGTATTCCCCTTTTGTAAACGGTCAGGTAATTTTTTTCTCATTCTTATTACAGTAAATAGGCCTATGTATGTACCGGGTCCACAGAGATTTTTTTTTCAAGTGGAGGTGGGGGTCAGAACCCCTGAACCTCCGTGAAACGAGGGGCGATATATCTTTTAACACTGCGGCCAACCCCTATTAAGGGGACACCTCTATTAAGTGGACTGGGAAACTTTCTGAGTGTGCCAAATGGTCAAATAACCCCTATTAAGAGGTGCACTTATTTTTTTTAATATATTGTATCACAACAAATACAAGTCTCAAAATAAGAAAAATTCTTTACATATTGACATAACTTTATATATTGACATAATTTGACGCATTTTGAGCAACTTATTAAGGAACTTTTATCACCTTTCTACTGCTGTTTGTTACGGGTGAGCTTTTTTTAGACGACGTAATAATAATAATAATTATTATTATTATTATTATTATTATTATTATTATTATTATTATTATTATTATTATTATTATTATTAGTTCTAATTCTGTTATAAATAATAATGTCAATAAAAATAAAATTATAAAGAATTGTATGTCATCGTTATATGAAAACATGCCAAAAACCCCTGTTAAGAGGACAATTTTACGTTTTTGGTTAGGGGTAGCCCTATTCAGGGGACACTTTTTTTGGTCCCGAAGGTGTCCCCTTATAGGGGTTCTAATCTATTTATTTTACTGGCGTAGAAAAAAGATAAATGTACGCTATTTGTATTGCAATTTTCACAGTTATTACCATGTATGTGGTGGGGAGTCAATCTAATTTCAAATGAACTCAAACCAATTTACATGTTTTATAAGTTATACATCTATTAGGTGGCGCTAATGCCTAAATACATACCACTTTTAAAAAGCATATATACGACAGCCACGTTTTTCAAACTGTGGGCCTAAAAATTAACATGTTTTATAAGTTATACATCTATTAGGTGGCGCTAATGCTAAATACATACCACTTTTAAATAGCATATATACGATAGGCACGTTTTTCAAACTGTGGGCCTAAAAATTAACAATTAAAGGTATAGAATCTTTGGTGAGATATGAACAAAAGATCGGGCAAAAAGTATCAACATAATTATGATTTCAGTGAAATATAGATTTAAGAATATTTTGGTTCATTGGCAGACTACGTTTTACTGCCAAAATTCTTAAATTGTTACCGGTCAACATAAAAAAAAATCATCATCATCAGAATCGTCATCATCAACAACATCATCATCATCTTAATTATTATTCATATTTTTATTATTATCATCATCATTGTTATCATTATTATTATTATTACTCTATCATTATTATTTCCTGCGTGGTTAAAAATAGGCCTATCATCATTTGCATATCAATTTGTTTAGTCCCTTAACTGCAAACTTTGGCTGAAACGGTTTATTTAAGGTTATAAATATAGCTACTGTAAAACAATTTACAAAATATTTGTTTTCACATATTTAGCTCCGTCAATTGGCGGTGAGGGTACGTGAGACTGAGGCAAGCAAAATTTGAGAATATGGACCTCCATTTGCCCGGAAATTGCTCTCTCATACAGTACCTTAAAAATCTTACCAGTACTAGACCTATGTTCATATCAACAAGACAGTTATTTTTTTTAATACAATACAATTTAAGGGGGTGCGATCACACCGTCTGCATCCCCTCTGCATCCGTCCCAAAAACGAAAATATAAGCGATATTAGCTTGTTTTCAGCGGGATTTGAGCCGGCTTGTGAGGAGTCGTGTATTTACAACGTCATCTTTGCCTATACCAATCCATTTGTTTAGGTTGAAGCGGCAACAGAAAGGCAATTTTCTTGTGATCAGTTATATATTAAAAATAATCTCATTGGATAAAATTTTCTTCCGTTATTTTTGCATTCTTTCAAAGGCTTTCAAAAACTGACCGAGCTCACAGCCGGCCCAGTGATCCGGGCGCGTTCCATTTTGTGAAATGATGAAAATATGGTACCTGCTTTATCAAAGACTTGTTAAAATTCAATAAATGAATACGCTTAATATTGGACTTATCTTATTTTTACAGTGTTGTGAATAAAATATATTTTTAATAGTGTTGACCAGTAATTGATTGTTTAATGAAGTGCATTTTTATATATTCTTTTCGGATAATGAAATCGTCCAAACATTGCGCCATGCAGCGCACTCAATTTGTTATTTTTTTCTCCGATGTCTAAATGAAAGCCGGATGTGTTCTTGACGCTACTTGAAAGTGTAGGTGATATAGATGGTTTTCCTAGGCGGTATTATAAAAATAATTAATTCGGAAGCAACAAGTTATACGCAGGTAAAAATAAAGGCCTCAGGGGAAACAAAAACAAAATTAAACATGAATAAATAAATAGTCTGGTAGGTAATCATAAGTCTTTATTTAAACCGTTAATGTTAGTTAGTTCAAAGTGAACTCAAATCCCATTAAAGTAACTAATGCCTTCCACTCTTGCGCAGATGTAGTTGGACAGCACAGTCCTCTTGATGGCAAATGACAGAGATTATCATGCTACGCCCTCTTCTTAATAAGCATTTGACGACAATACCGGACCGAAGAGATACTTTTTATAGATAAATCATGGTATAATAGCGATAAACTCTTGTGTTGCAGTGTATGCTTTAAATCCGATTAAAGCAACTAATTCCTCGCACTCTAGTTGAATCCCCAACAAAGCCCTAATGGCCCATTGGTTAAGGTGCTGCATAGTACAGCGATAAAACTCTAAACCGTTGTTTTTTCACACTCCCAGGCTTCTCTTCTTTAGTGTTCGAAATTCATGCATAATTTAGGACAGACCAATTCCGTTAATCTAATCGACGGTCACATAATCGGTGTGGGCATAATTGAAAATTATAGAACGTTTAATTAATAATCAGTTTATTAACATCATGAAGAATTAATTAAGTAACTACTACAAATATCTAGGACTAGGAATGATAATGAGGTATGTAAACCACACTTAACAAACTAACTAAAGGTGTAATGAAATTGTAGTTTTGGCATAATTTTTATGATATCTTTGCGATGCGCCTCTGAACAATTTTTATTGAAAGAGGCGCATATAAATAAAATACATTATTATTTACATTATAAACCAACTTTATTTCAAATAAATACGAGCTCAGCGATCTCTATTGCAGGTGACTTATAATGTTTCTCAAAAAAAAATCATTATACTTCATATTTTAAGTGAATAACCTACCAAAATTGTAATCGTATAGTAATTTTTAAAAATGCATTGGTGCTGTATACCCTTTATGTCTCCATTTAACAGCTACCGGTAACTTTGAATAACCCATGTTCCTATATTAAGTATTTTTCTACCATTATAAATACAAAAAAGTATCCCAATGTATGACACACTTTCGTCATTATTGTCCATTGGTGTAATTGTTGTTTAAACACATTTCACACACGCTTGAGAATCTCATTCGTATACGTGAACCAAGCGTCATTTCAATTACGCATATTGGTAGGTCTACAACTTGAATAATCAGAAATCCAACTATAGGCTATCCCATTTTCTCATTTTGTTTTATTTATTTACAATTTAGACCATAATCAGTAACTTTAGTAAGGAGATACACCTGTCTCTTATACACATCTAGATGTGTATAAGAGACAGACTGTTTTTAATCTGTCTCTTATACACATCTAAGTCTATCTGAATGCACTTTTAATGAAAATGCTACAGTAATAATATAAACAAAAAAAAGACATTTTAGAAAATATAGAAACCATTTAAACCACTCGTTTTATCGTAGGAATACTGTATTTTCAAGATTTTTTTAAATTGTTTTTGGTTTTTGTTTTATTTGATTTCATAAAGGAAAAAACAAAGTAGACAAGTTAAATGGAATGGAAAACGTAGACGGAAGACTATTGACCGACATCTAGTCCCGAGCGCATACAGACCATGTATTATGCGCTATATAAGTCTCCAACCATTACCATCACCATTACCATTGCCTTTCCAACAGCTTATTTAAACTACCTTTTTATTAAATTTGTTTTTTCTGTCTCTGTTAGTTAGCTAGTTAGAATTCATTTCTAGGAATTAAGCTGCGCAGTTAGCCAATCAAGACCTTCATAGAGCCCCTCGCCAGTAGTAGCACATGTTGATTGGATGTACCATGGGCGTTTCCGAAGCAAATGCAAATCTAGAGATTCTGAAAGTTCAGCAGCAGTCATTGCATTTGGCAGATCCTAATAGCAGAAATTAAAACAAAAAAAAAAATGATTTTATAAATTAGACATGTTTCATGCAATCAGAAGTCTATTTGGTAATTGCTGATGATTGGTTTAATCGTCTTAGCTACATCCACATCAAGCCCGGATCCGGTCCAGAGACCGGACCAAAAATCGTGAGTTGCTACGTTTTTTGAACGCTGCGTTCACATCGCGCACGGAACACGGTTGTTCGCGTTAAGTATGTATGCGTTCAATTGGTTCGGACCAACCAAGCTTGTTGTTGATTGGTCAAAGAAAAAAAAACCGTACGATTTAAGGATACAAATGGCTCTCAGATCCATCGGTCCAGATCTGGAGTCCAGATTGAAAATCGTACGAATTTGATGTGAACGGTCCTATTCTTTACCACTGAACCCATTTTCACGATTTTTTCTTCGGACTCCGGACCGGAATCCGGGCTTGATGTGCTTTAAGGATTGTCCAGAAATTGTATTTGACAAAAAAATGCTGTATGGCCATATAGGCATGATGTGGCTATACATGATCTGATGTCATCATGACCATATTTAGGCATGTCACACGTTTGGTATTCTGGACAAGGTATTAATTACATGTACATTTTGCAATATGGTAGACAGACTTTATCCACGGTCTTTTCAAACTGGAGCTTAAATTTAAACTACAAAAATTAAGAATGTTTGCAGCATAATTGAAAACTGTTTTTTAGATAACAGATATTAGTTTACTTTGTTTAGAAATTTTGTTTGATTTTATAGGTGAGTGAAAGTATATACATGTTTAATTAAAGACCACTTTTGGAACCAGGGTGTTTATGGTCTTTAGCAGTTTTGGTCTCTAATTAGAATAATAAAAATAATAAGTGGCATTTAATTGGAGGGGTCTTTCATTAGAGGAAGCCGTATTAAACTCTTGTGTCACTTGAAAGATAACATATATCATAATCAGTAGAAGGCATACAGCACCATTGTTAAAAAAAGACGCTTACCCGCTTGTTTGCAAATACGAGAAGTACAGCATCTCTAAGTTCATCTTCATATAGCATTCTATTCAATTCTTCATATGCTTCTCCAATTCGTTCCCTGTCATTACTATCTACTACGAAGATTAAACCTATATTTTAAAATACATAAAAAAAGAATCTGAATACACCATACAGTAGAAAAAACGCTTTATATTATAAACTTTTTCTTTACGACCATAACAAATTCAAAATTTCATTGACGTAGGCCTAGAATTGGAAAACTATTAATTCAAACGATCAGGATGGTAAAAAATGAACTATTGGCTTTATAAAGAATATGAAATACAACAAATTAAATCAAAATATGTTAAAGTCAACCTTGTAATTTTAGGCCTAACAGAGGGCACCTCGCTTCAAATTTTGGTCTTATGAATAATTGGTCGTACAGACAGTCGAAATAAAATAGTTCATAATTAGACAATTGTACATGGTTCTCGTTGCATTGCGTGCAAGAAGCCAATATCTTTCGCCACCACCCCCCCCCCCCCAACTGTCTATTTTAGTTCATTTCATTTCGCAAAATAAAAATCACAAAAAAGCCCTTCACTTTACCTTGTGTATTTTGGAAATAATGTCTCCAGAGAGGTCGGATTTTGTCTTGACCGCCAACATCCCATACTGTAAAGCTGATATTTTTATATTGTACTGTTTCTACATTAAAACCTGAAAAATTAAGCAAAAAACATTATAATAGCCTATATCAATATGAACACAAAAAAAATGTTTCGTAATCGATGAATAAAAGTGGTAACTTCAAAAGGAAAGGGGAAAAAAGGTACATAAAAATTTAACTTCCACTTGTATGTTGGAATTGTAACAATTTCTCCAAGTAGGCCTACCACATTACAAGATGTGTTGTTTCATATCTCGTCTAAATTTCATGTTATTCGTGGAGCCAACTGATCAGACTCTTTAGCAAAAGAAGCAGGGAAATTACCTCTCTGCCACCACTTAGCACCATGTTTCTACTGTTTTTAATTTCAAGTAATAACTGTAAAATGTATGTTGAACAAAATAAATGAACGAGTGAACATAAATACATGTTAGGCAAATAGAGATCTCTGCAATATACGCTCTATAAATCGACCATTAACTATTACAGCAAAATGATATCACCTACCTATAGTTGGAATTGTCGTGACAATTTCTCCAAGCTTAAGCTTGTACAAAATTGTAGTTTTTCCTGCAGAATCCAAACCAACCATTAATATCCTCTGGTCTTTGTTGCCAAATATGTTTGAAAAAAACTTTGCAAAAGTTGATCCCATCTTCAACACACATGAACTAATAATATCTTGTTAATGATTTTCAGTTGTATCACGTCTCAATAGAGATGGATTTGGTAGTGGGAATTTGGGTCTTCACCCTGGGAAATCAAGTAAAATGAAATATATAAATAAAATATTTTTTTTTGTTTATGTCCATCTGATAGTATTAAAAATAGTTTCATACTTAACAAAACAAGGACAATATAGAAAGCAGTTAACTACTAGAACGGCAAGATCAACATAACAGTAACAGTAAAACTTAAACCAACCATTCATGATATTACATTTAAAATTACAGGTCTTACAGTGCCCATCAATATCACACAATGTATTTTACTTTAACTTATTATATCAACCGGTCGTCTGGAACATTTACCATGTAATACATACTTCTGTCTATATACCAAATTGGAATAAAAGAAACCAAAATTAACTATAAATTCTACGTCACCTCACCGTCACTTCGTCATTCTAACATTTTTTTTCAAAACCACAATCAAGCTGATCTACCTGTAACATACTATAATAGCAATCACAAACCACCTCTACTCTGCTAATGAAATTGCCCTTGTCACAAACAATACAAAACAACTGAAGAAAATGCTAAATAAAATGAACTCAACAAAGTAGGGCCTAATAATTTTTAATTAAGGAATAATAGAAAGTAAAGACAAAAGTACTGTTTAACAGTTTTGATAGCATGTGGCTGCAAGTTAATCATTCAACTAGGTCCGCATTTTTCTCCTTCAAACTTCAAGTGTACCACTTAAAAAAATAGGCGAGTCACTTTCACCATCAGGCAAACTGTTGAACCAATGGAGCCTAACATAGTGTACTGGCAGATTCAGACTGTTTTTCCGGGGTGGCGCGAGTGTGGCAATCGAGGACTATGGTTCGACGGAGGCTGAACCTATGAATGAAAAGTGGAGGGGGGGGGGGGTTGGAGTGTTAAAAGTGGAGGGGGGGGGGGGTTGGAGTGTTTCATCGAAGGGGCCCATGGGTTATGTCCTCTGGAAGCTATGGAGTTTTATCCATTTACACAAGGTTAATTATTTCTGTTGCTGCTGCCAGTGTGTGTGGCAAGCACCCTTTGCCGCTACCCCCCCCCCCACCGGGTTATTAATGAATCTGAGTGATTTTTCTTACAGAAATTCAATTCATTTTTTGACCAAGAATCAACATGCTATACATTAAAGTACAGAGATTACGATAATAATAATGTGGTTTGATATTCAATGCTTCTAAAATTATGGTTGACAATTTTTAAAAATGTAGGCCTATATGTTTTTTTAAAAACGAAGTATGCAAGGATGGTTGGAACGAGTCGTTCCTAATTAGTGTACCGAACCCTACTATTTTTTACCTACAAAGGTGGAACCTAAGCAATAACATAATGAAATTTTTAAAAAAAATAAAAAAACAAGAGAAGAATTTGAAATAACAATTTTATAAGAGCGAATCAACTCTCTAAAATCCAGAAGAGTGTCATGTGCCTAGAGTGATCACTCCAATAATAGAGTGAAATTTTAAAAAGTGTTTTTTGTTATTTTGCAAAAATATCCTCAACAATAATATGAGCAAAATTCTTTATTCGATGCCATGTTTTATCATCGTTTGTTAAAAAGTGTGACTGCATGACCTCTAAGTATGGAATGGAATTGCATGCTCTGAGTACAGAAGTACTACATAGACTATGCAACTGCTATGCTGCTACAATGTTTTTACTTTTTTCAGACGCTTGGTGGCTTGATAGAATGATTTTAAGATGCAACTATACATTTACAATTTCTAGGCTTACATTGAATGTACTTACAATTATTCTTGTTTTATTATATTGTTCGATTCTTCTTAATCATGTGCATCTACAACTATCCTGTCACCTGGTAATTGTCACTGCTAAACGGATCATGAAATTCCACAATAAGAGTGCAGGTATTTTTCTTGATCGGGAATGTAACGTAATTAACTGCTTACTAGTAACTTATTCCACTTTTTAATAACGTAAGAATATTTCTGTCTTGTTCAGAATTAACAACCTCAGTATTTTCCACTTTTCAAAGAGAAGAATGATTACTTTGTCTGGTTCTGCTTGGTTGTGTAGCTACGTCCAAATCTTTACAAATTCTTCCGAAATAGTACTTTTTTTACATACAATCATTCATTTCAATCGAAATAACCTTCCGTTTTTTTTTAAATAATACAATAATCATTCCTTCAGAATCATTTTGTTCTCTCGAAATAATTTCGTTCACTAGAAATTATTACGTTTTTCTCCAAAATAATAATGTTGTTTCCTCACTCGAAAAAGCTGAAGATATGATTATCGTCAAGGAAACACGTGACCAAGAGCCTCTAGAGAGGCTTGGCTTTTACAATGGAACTATTTTGAGTTATAAGCAAAAAAAAAAAAAAACCCTTTAGGGCCCGTAAACAATCTACCAGTACAATGCGGACACAGCAGTTTTATCTTTTACTTATTATGTCTTTGATACGGTGTAATAAGTTACTTAGTAGTACATTTCTTGACAGGCTGCAAAAAAAAAACAAAAAAAAAAAAACAAAAAAAAACACAAAAACAAAAACACAAAATGTAGAATAATAGTGTGTTGAGAACGGTTTTGCTTCCATTAGTTTTCATGTTTACAGTCATTTAGGGATGCGTTTATTCGATAAAAAAAAATATACTCCGGGCCTGAATGAGGCTGTGGAGGGGCGTCTATTTGAGGGGGGGGGGGGGGGAGTTTATTCAGATCGTTGTTATTATGATTATTTTTATTTTAAAGTTATTATTTCATTGTTATTTGTATTTTCTCGGTTGGCCTATATTATTTCTGTGTAAAGCGCATAGGGGCAATGTGCAATATGCGCTATATAAATATAACATTATTTATTATTATTATTCGAATAAATAAGGTATTTAGATAAATAATCCCAATATCACTCCATGGATGAATGAACCTTTCCAGAGTATCAATCACTCTTAACAACTGAACAATTAGAATAGGGCCAGGAATATGCGCTTGTCATACTTACATACGTCCTGCAACAGGGGATGATCCAGCGAGGGTCACGGGGGTCCGTAATTCTTCCCCCACCCCCTTAAGTCTCGCCGAAAAATAAAAAAGGGAGAAAAATTGAGAAGAGTTAGGGGAGGAAAGAAGGAAAAAGTAAGTGTACCCATGAGTTTAGTGGCGGATCTAGCAGTGGGAGAAAGGAGAGATCGATTATTTTACCCCCCATTAATTTTGAATTTTCTATTGATTGACGACGAACACAACGCTATATTCCCGACGCCGATTTTTTCAAACAATTTCATAAATCAGGATGTAAAAAAGGCCAAATAATTGAGACCTAAGACGGTTTTTTACACCATTATTACGGAATGTAATTACTAGCTATCCATGCTCAGTGGGGTAACGCCTATATGTGCTCTCGTGCAGCGGTCTCTACCCATAGGTTCCTCGCTCTGAGCACCCTAATCCAAAAGGGGCCCGTTAATACGTAAGAGCATGTGTCTCTGACATCGACTGTAGGACATATAACACATTAATCTAGTGGGGATGGGTGCCCCCCCCCCCCCACATTTGTCAAGATTTAAAACAATATTGGAAATAAAATATTGAAATTTTAAGCCTCTGAATAAGTGCCACTTCCAGGCAGGTGCCATAATCATAATTCGCTTTGCGACTCACAGTTTAGAATAGACTTTAGGTCCTTGATTAGTCCTTTGCGACAAGGGAGGGGTGTCTTAAGGGTGGGAGAGCTTCTCGTCGGGAAGAAGTCAATAATTTTGTCCAGGAGGAACACTGCGATGAAAAATCATTTTTATCATCTAAGAGTGCCATTTCCGAGCGTCTAGAGGGCTTATTAATTTGCCAACCATGGTGAGTTTAAGGTGGGTGTGGATACCTATTGGGGCCCCGTCAGAAAATTTCTGAATCCGCCCCTGTACAAACGAACGTGTTTACGCAGTCGTTTGTGGGACATTCATTGAAAGCAGTCGCACTATATAGTATGTATAGGATAGAATTTAGTAGCCTTTGAATACGGATATCAAATATAGTAGAACTATTAAACTTGTTACAACAAAGCAAAATCAGTGTTCTGTGTGAATTCGTTGTAGCAGTGCTCGAATAGGAACATAATATGAGGCTATAATCATTCAGTGTGGCTGCTGATGTGTTTTTCTTCCTTCTATAATTTCCCTTACCTATTATAAATGCGTCATGATATGCTATTCCAAAGTTGTAACAAGCGAACAGTACCTATCTTAACACGCACACTCGTATCCAACCCTACAGACATTCTCCTATTATATACAAGAAAATTTTAGGCTCGCATAAAGTAGCCAGATACAGTTCCGTACTCGCATGAATAAGCGGCCGGGTGCTTAAAATATTTTTTGAACTTTTTGAGGGTGCTTATGAAAATAGAGAGAAAATTGAGGGGGCGCTTATGGAAATAAATGAAAGTTAACGGGTGCTGGGAACTTGGAAAATTCAAGTGGCGCTTTCTGAATGAAAAAAAAAATTAGATTATATTAGGACATCTGGAAACCGAAGCTTGTGGCGGTAAATTTGTTGTCATCTGCCGATTGAGATTTAGCAAGATCATTGTAGGGTTTCTTGCAAACTCAAATGAAAACGTGCAAATTGTCAGAATAAAGAGAGAAGTATGACAAGTCCTTCCAAGCCGATTCATTGCCAAATGTAAGAAGAGGAAAGTTGAAAAGATACTGTCTAGGGAGCTCTTAACTGTCCAGGAGAAATATCCTAATCTTAAAATTGATGTAAGAAAATGTGAATCCACTCCGCAATTCGAATCAGTTAAGTCAGTGATGTATATTGTACCTGTCTCTTATACACATCTAGATGTGTATAAGAGACAGGGCCAGGAATATGCGCTTGTCATACTTACATACGTCCTGCAACAGGGGATGATCCAGCGAGGGTCACGGGGGTCCGTAATTCTTCCCCCACCCCCTTAAGTCTCGCCGAAAAATAAAAAAGGGAGAAAAATTGAGAAGAGTTAGGGGAGGAAAGAAAGAAAAAGGAAGTGTACCCATGAGTTTAGTGGCGGATCTAGCAGTGGGAGAAAGGAGAGATCGATTATTTTACCCCCCATTAATTTTGAATTTTCTATTGATTGACGACGAACACAACGCTATATTCCCGACGCCGATTTTTTCAAACAATTTCATAAATCAGGATGTAAAAAAGGCCAAATAATTGAGACCTAAGACGGTTTTTTACACCATTATTACGGAATGTAATTACTAGCTATCCATGCCCCCCCCGCGGGTTATTACTGATTCTGAGTGATTTTTCTTACAGAAATTCAATTCATTTTTTGACCAAGAGTCAACATGCAGTACAGAGATTACGATAATAATAATGTGGTTTTGATATTCAATGCTTCTAAAATTATGGTTGACAATTTAAAAAAATGTAGGCCTATATGTTTTTTTAAAAACGAAGTATGCAAGGATGGTTGGAACGAGTCGTTCCTAGTTAGTGTACCGAACCCTACTATGTTTTACCTACAAAGGTGGAACCTAAGCAATAACATAATGAAATTTAAAAAAAAAATAAAACAAGAGAAGAATTTGAAATAACAATTTTATAAGAGCGAATCAACTCTCTAAAATCCAGAAGAGTGTCATGTGCCTAAAATAGTGATCACTCCAATAATAGAGTGAAATTTTAAAAAGTGTTATTTACTCTATTTTGCAAAAACATCCTCAACAATAATGTGAGCAAAATTCTTTATTCGATGCCATATTTTATCATCGTTTGTTAAAAAGTGTGACTGCATGACCTCAAGTATGGAATGGAATTGCATGATCTGAGTACCGAAGTAATACATAGTCTATGCAACTGCTATGCTGCTACAATGCTTTCACTTTTTTCAGACGCTTGGTGGCTTGATAGAATGATTTTAAGATGCAACTATACATTTACAATTTCTAGGCTTACATTGAATATACTTACAATTATTCTTATTTTAATATATTGTTCGATCCTTCTTAATCGTGTGCATCTACAACTATCTTGTCACCTAGTAATTGTCACTGCTAAACGGATCATGAAATTCCACAATAAGAGTGCAGGTATTTCCAGATCGGGAATGTAACGTAATTAACTGCTTACTAGTAACTTATTCCACTTTTTAATAACGTAAGTAACAGAAGAAGATTTCTGTCTTGTTCAGAATTAACAGCCTCAGTATTTTCCACTTTTCAAAGAGAAGAATGATTACTTTGTATGGTTCCTGGTTGGTTGTGTAGCTACGTTCAAATCTTTACAAATTCTTCCAAAATAGTACTTTTTTTTACACACAATCATTCATTTCACTCGAAATAACATTCCGTTTTTTTGAAATAATACAATAATCATTCCTTCAGAATCATTTTGTTCTCTCGAAATAATTTCGTTCACTAGGCACTAGAAATTATTGCGTTTTGCTCCGAAATAATAATGTTGTTTCCTCACTCAAAAAAGCTGAAGATATGATTATCGTCAAGGAAACACGTGATCAAGAGCCTCTAGAGAGGCTTGGCTTTTACAATTGAACTATTTTGAGTTATGAGCAAAAAATCCCTTTAGGGCCCGTAAACAAACTACCAGTACAATGCGCACACAGCAGTTTCATCTTTACTTATTATGTCTTTGATACGGTGTAATAAGTTACTTAGTAGTACATTTCTAAACATAACCGGACCCGGGGGGTGTCTGGAAAACTCAGACCTCAGATCTCAGATCTGAGTTTTCTAAATCTAGAAAACACAGATAGGCCCTATCTGAGTTTTCTACAACTAGAAATGAGAAATGACAGCACATAATTACAGTCAAAATGTAGAATATTAATAGAATGTGTTGAGAACAGTTTTGCTTCCATTAGTTTTCATGTTTACAGTCATTTAGGGATGCGTTTATTCGATAAAAAAAAATATACTCCCAGGGCCTTTATTCCGAATGAGGCTGTGGAGGGGCGTTTATTTAAGGGGGGAAGTTTATTCAAAGCGAGACGTTTATTCAGATCATTGTTATTATGATTATTTTTATTTTAAAGTTATTATTTTATTATTACTTGTATTTTCTCGGTTGGCCTATATTATTTCTGTGTAAAGCGTATAGGGGCAATGTGCAATATGCGCTATATAAATATAACATTATTTATTATTATTCGAATAAATAAGGTATTTAGATAAATAATCCCAATATCACTCCATGGATGAATGAACCTTTACAGAGTGTCAATAACTCTTAACAACTGAACAATTAGAATAGGGCCAGGAATATGCGCTTGTCATACTTACATACGTCCTGCAACAGGGGATGATCCAGCAAGGGTCACGGGGGTCCGTAATTCTTCCCCCACCCCCTTAAGTCTCGCCGAAAAATAAAAAAGGGAGAAAAATTAAGAAGAGTTAGGGGAGGAAAGAAAGAAAAAGGAAGTGTACCCATGAGTTTAGTGGCGGATCTAGCAGTGGGAGAAAGGAGAGATCGATTATTTTACCACCCATTAATTTTGAATTTTCTATTGATTGACGACGAACACAACGCTATATTCCCGACGCCGATTTTTTCAAACAATTTCATAAATCAGGATGTAAAAAAGGCCAAATAATTGAGACCTAAGACGGTTTTTTACACCATTATTACGGAATGTAATTACTAGCTATCCATGCTTAGTGGGGTAACGCCTATATGTGCTCTCGTGCAGCGGTCTCTACCCATAGGTTCCTCGCTCTAAGCACCCTGATCCAAAAGGGGCCCATTGATACATAAGAGCAGGTGTCTCTGACACCGACTGTAGGACATATAACACATTAATCTAGTGGGGCCGGCTAGGACCCCCCCCCCCCCCCCCCCCCCCCCCCCATTTGTCAAGATTTAAAACAATATTGGAAATAAAATATTGAAATTTTAAGCCTCTGAATAAGTGCCACTTCCAGGCAGGTGCCATAATCATAATTTGCAGTTTAGAATAGACTTTAGGTCCTTGATTAGCCCTTTGCGACGAGGGATGGGTGTCTTAAGGGTGGGAGAGCTTCTCGTCGGGAAGAAGTCAATAATTTTGTCCAGGAGGAACACTGCGATGAAAAATCATTTTTATCATCTAAGAGTGCCATTTCCGAGCGTCTAGAGGGCTTATTAATTTGCCAACCATGGTGAGTTTGAGGTGGGTGTGGATACCTATTGGGGCCCCTCAGAAAATTTCTGAATCAACCCCTGCACAAACGAACGTGTTTACGCAGTCGTTTGTGGGACATTCATTGAAAGCAGTCGCACTATATAGTATGTATAGGATAGAATTTAGTAGCCTTTGAATACGGATATCAAATATAGTAGAACTATTAAACTTGTTACAACAAAGCAAAATCAGTGTTCTGTGTGAATTCGTTGTAGCAGTGCTCGAATAGGAACATAATATGAGGCTATAATCATTCAGTGTGGCTGCAGATGTGTTTTTCTTCCTTCTATAATTTCCCTTACCTATTATAAATGCGTCATGATATGCTATTCCAAAGTTGTAACAAGCGAACTGTACCTATTTAACATGCACACTCGTATCCAACCCTACAGACATTCTCCTATTACAGTATATACAAGAAAATTTTAGGCTCGCATAAAGTAGCCAGATACAGTTCCGTACTCGCATGAATAAGCGGCCGGGTGCTTAAAATATTTTTTGAACTTTTTGAGGGTGCTTATGAAAATAGAGAGAAAATTGAGGGGGCGCTTATGGAAATAAATGAAAGTTAACGGGTGCTGGGAACTTGGAAAATTCAAGTGGCGCTTTCTGAATGAAAAAAAAAATTAGATTATATTAGGACATCTGGAAACCGAAGCTTGTGGCGGTAAATTTGTTGTCATCTGCCGATTGAGATTTAGCAAGATCATTGTAGGGTTTCTTGCAAACTCAAATGAAAACGTGCAAATTGTCAGAATAAAGAGAGAAGTATGACTAGTCCTTCCAAGCCGATTCATTGCCAAATGTAAGAAGAGGAAAGTTGGAAAGATACTGTCTACTAATTTTAAAATTGACATAAAAAAATGTGAATCCACTCCGCAGCTCGAATCAGTTAAGTCAGTGATGTATATTGTACTGTACTGTATCATTGATTGTTTTAGGAATCGTTTATTCAAATTTTAAGTTTATTTAAACAGGGCACTAATTCGCGCGAGTACGGTATTCAAACTTTGACCAAAAAATTGTATGCCCATTTATAGTCATGACGTGCCTCTATATGGCCATAGTGTGATTTAATCATTACCATATTTAGGCATGTCACATGCTTTCGTCAAATTAAATCCGAGTGGACAGACATTTGGATTGATATTACACAATGTATAGATAAATGCAGTGCTGGAATAGCAACATGACCTTAACGAAAAGTTCATTTTCACTGGAATGAAAGGCATGGCTAATGAGATAACCTTTAGCCTTTCGCTACTAAGACGAGTGTTGTACCGCTTAACCACAGTCCTATAATATGGTATAGGTGCATATCCAACTCCCAGATCCCTTCTCTTTAATGACAAAAATTCACGCTCACACATATATGTGGAACTGCAGTTAAGCTAGAAACTAGCTTGGACGTCGCAGATGAGAATTATAGGTAAAGAATATTCAAATTTGGAAGGAAAAACTAGAGTTGAATTTGCCCAAGTCGAATCCAAAATGACATTGAAAAACTGTTCGAAGTAGATAAAATTTGAATTACAGATCATTACAAAACAATTTGGCATGTAAAATAAGATCAACTTAGATATTATTTTAGTTACGCAAAGTCGACTTAGGCAAGCTTTACTGTAGTTTCTACTGATCACCAATACACGAAGACTCAAGGCCATATTTTTTTAGACAGTATTTACTCAACATATGGGAGGGTACACAATTAGTATGTAAAGTTCACATTTGTACCATACCTAAATTGATCATACATGGGGAAAAAATTATCACATTGATAAGATATTCTACAATAAATAAAATATACAGCAAATAAATCTTGTCAAGTCTGTTTGCCGGATGCTCATACCTATCGGATCACCCCCAGTCACCTGTCATAACTTACAAACACTATTACTGACCAGCAAAGTGTCAGTAATATTCAAAATATGGATTAAAAATTCAATGTAAAAACCCCAAACAAAAACCCCCGAGTCAAAAACAATTGTAATGTTGGTGTCCACAACAGCAGTTTCCAAGACAGGATAAAGGGGAAGAGAGTAAAATGTGCTTCCTGTGCCAAAATAACTTTTTTAATTTCCAGACAATGCTAAGGCTGAGTGAATTAGAATATACTGTAAGATATTATGACATCGATAGAATTTAAAAATTACTGTTCATTAAATCTTCACAAACCAAGACTAGAATTGCCTGATATATAGTATGAATTTATAAATACTGTGTACATATCAATTTATTATCTAATACAAATTAGTATATGATTATTTGGAATCCATATTATGGGAATCAAAGACATTCGTTTTGGAATAAATGACACAGTAAACACTACAAATATGATTAAAAAAAAAAAAAATAAGTTGAAATGAAAAAAATTAGCCAACTTTAAAAATTATTTTCAGCAGCCACGATAATGATGACAAATAGTTTACAAATACATGAAAAATTAAATGACAAATTTTATTAAATTGATTGTTTGAATATACTGAAATACCATACTTTCTTTCATCTAAGCACTTTCCTACTATCATAAATAAATACACTACTGTATCTCATTGTTAATTGTCAGTATTATGGTATTCTTTGCTTCACAGTTAACATACTGTACAAACATGAACATTCTCAAAAGAATCATTTAGACAAATTCAATTACTGTAAATCTTGAATAATCAAAAATCCCATTCAGAACCATTTCTCAGTTGTTACAGTACCTTAATGTTAAGATCGTTTTCTACAGTACATATAATTAGATGTTTTACAAAGAGAAATGAAGCATCAGGATATCTGACCATTTGTAATGGAAGAATTCTAATATCAAAAAAAATAAAAACACCCAATAAAGTAAAACAAAAGATATCTCTCACAGTCTTTCAACCATCCATAATTATGTTCTTATAATAGGAATGCTCTAACTTGTGATCTTTTTATATAAGTTTGTTTTTAACGATCGCTTTTATAAAGACATATAATACACTAGACAAGTTAATTTGAAAAGAAACTTGTTGACTGAAAGCCAGGCTCCGGAGAAAAATTTTTTTTCATATTTTGCACACATGAATTTAAAAGCTTTTTATCAAGCACCATTTCAGTGTCTAGGAAAATTCATGTACAACATATTAAACATTTTTTCCTATGGAGCATGGCTTGAAGACAATTGCCTTTCCAAAAGCTTATTGTAAGACATCATCATTTACATTAAATTTGCAATTCCTTCTTATTGCTCAAACCTATTTCGCGTTCTTGAGCTGAGCAGATAACCAGTCGAGACCTTCATAGAGTCCATCACCACTAGTTGCGCATGTTGCCTGGATGTACCATGTGCGTTGACGAAGCGAATGCAGGCCTAATTTTTCTGTGAGTTCAGCAGCGTTCATGGCGTTTGGCAAATCCTAATAACAGAAATACAAACAAGCATTAGTCTTAAAAATGTGTAACAATACAATACAGTTCTGTAGCAACATAAAAAAACCATGTAACAGAACCCCTTCTTTGGACACCCCCATTAAGGGGACACTTTTTAGGGCATTGAACGACGAAAAGTATACAGGGGGCGGATCCAGAAACGTTCTTGTTAATTATTGTCCTGCACAACCATCTCTGAAATAATGTATTTTGTTTTTGCCTGGAAATTCAACTTGCAGCACTAGGGTCTTATTATGAAGGTTGACAGAATAACAATACTGCTGTGTTAACCTAAATGAAACATTATCAACCTGTGAAATCAGTCACAATTTTGGACTATAGGCAGAATAAAAGTTTTTTATCCACCTATCATGCTAAGAACTCATGTGATGGTATCGGTGGTGCCGCGTGAAAAGGCTTAACAAAATCTAGTTTACAGCATCCATACAGTGAACCAATCTTGACAACTGATGCAATTATGGCATTCTGTAAATCTAACATCCGTGGGATACAATACTTTAATGTTACATTTGATGAGATCACTGGATTTGAGGCTGAGTTGAAGGATAGTTTTCAAACTGCAAGGAATAAGCAAAAGAGCACTTCAGCTTCACAGATTCATTTAAAATTCAAAATCTAAGTTACAAGTATTAAGATTGAGTTCTCAAGCTGGCCCAGCTGATTTGGTTTCAGTCACTAATGCTGAGGAGGACATGGCAGAAGAGGCTGATGTAACTACCATAGCGTCTTGCATCTATGACAATGAAGCATGGGCCAGCTAAACTGTTCTCCTGGCCTAATAAGGAGGATAAATGTTGGATTAGTAAACAAGAAATAGTGTGATAAAACACCATCTCTTGCAGTTCATGGAGAATGTACAATTATCAGTAAAAATGACAATGCTAAAATAGAGCGAACTTGGGAAAAGTAGGTACTGTTTGATAAATACCCCATAAACAACAAGCGAGTTTTAGTTCACCTGGTTTGAATATAAAATGTCTGAATTGCATGATCGATGTATGATATTGAAGGTGAATCTTTTATAGATGCTCAACTAAGCGCCGCAACGCTTATAAAAAATAAAATAAAAAATTTGTTGTGGTCTTCAGTGAGGCATTGTGCTTATTCATTTTAAATCTGTATACCTTGAAATTTAAAACCGTTGCTCAAAGTACTTCATTACACACAGGGCAATATATAGCGGCGCTTAGCGAAAAAGAATGTTTGCTGCAGTGCCTATTTGAGAGTGGCAGTTAATCTAAAGCGGTGCCTATTTGAGAGCAGCGCTTGTTTGAGCCTTTACAGTACTTATTTTTAAAAAAACTGTAATTTTGGGGGTTTTGTCTCAGACAGGCAAACTTTGATTATATATTACTTGCTTATAGGAAATATTACATCTCCAATATTTGTATGTTGTAGCTAACACTCAGGGCCACAATTTACATATATTAAAATTTAATGGTGACTCAATCCACCAGGTGAAAATATAGGTCGAAAGTCATTGACATTAGATATGGTTAATTTTTCAAAATAATGGCAGATTTAGGTTCCTTAATTCTCTTTTCAGAAATACCAATTTTATGAATATTGGTCAAACCACTGCTGAGATATTAAGGTTCAAGTAAAGGCTGGCAGCCACACCTGTTTTGGGCAATATTGCCTAACTTAGTTTTGCTGTAACTTCGAAAAATATTGATTTGATTTTTTGCTAAAATTTGAGATTTGGACATTTGATGCCAAACCCAACATGTTTACCAATTTTCATCGAAAAATCGGAGTCGGTCGGGTTAAAACTTCTTATTTTTAATTCTTCAAATTTGTTATTTCTAGAAATCATTTCACACCCATTTTAACCAAACAAATAAATATAACATATCAAATAACTAATATGTGGTGCTTACTGCACAACAAACTTTTAGTAAGCAATTACCTGTTTGTTTGCAAATACAAGCAGTACAGCATCCTTAAGTTCATCTTCATTTAGCATTCTATTCAGTTCATCTTTTGCTTCTTGAGCTCTTTCCCTGTCATTACTGTCTACTACAAAGATTAAACCTATTTGGAAACAATTAACATGAAACATAATAATTTGAGTAAGGGAAAAAATGATTATAAATGCACAGATGCCTGCACATAACCTAGCACTATTCTTTCAGGCCTCTAATAATCTTAATAATCAATTAATTAATTAATTGGTAATAATCATCTTTCTCATGTCTTTACAATTTTGATTCTCATTCTATTACATTTAAAAAAGATGCCTTTATCTGTATTGAGTAATACCTTTCCTTTTTTTCTATATCATTGTTTTTAATTTACATTTTAGTTACATTTGAATTTCAAATTTGTAAACATTCTTTCTCTATATTTTTTTTAATATTTACTGTGTATGTACCAGGGCATCCTTGGAAAGTAGTGTAGTCACTGAATGGATACACCCTGGTTAAAGAAAGCAAATAAAACACAAATAATAATAAAAATGAGGGGCTTTTTTGCATCCATCGTTTGAACAAGTCCCTATGCAATTACTGTAGTATTCTTTTTTTATCTTTAAATTCACTGTATTACCGTCAATACTGTACTGTCAAAAAAAAAAATTAATACTAATAGCAGCTGTTCTTATCATAATTGGACATCACCACGGAAGAAAAGTGTGGTGATCAAAGAAGTTTATTACCAATTATTAGTAAGTCGTTGTGAAACTTCGCTAACAAACCGAGAAGCCTCCTTGTATGCGTAGGGGCAGCTAAGTTAAAGCAGTATAATAATTAACACTTCTGCTAAGCCCTGCTTTTGGATATTGTTGCCAGGGTCCCCTAAAAAAACTACAGTCAAAAAGATACGCACACACATGCATTTGCGGGACAACATGTGCTTGTGAAACGCGCATATCCCTGGTACTGTTCTTGATTGGAGTGTTGTTAAGTCTGACTGACCCTCAGGGTAGTGATTTTATAGAAACCATGGTAAAATAAGGTCCATCTGAAATACATAGCATCCACTTAATCATTTTAATACAACACCACCTTAACGATGTATTGTCGCTTCGACAAAATTGAAAAAAAAAATTGTTTTTAATGAATTTTTAAATTAAATTGGCCATTTTGGACCATCACAATAGTTCACTTTGGATTAAAAATGTTACGGAAAAAATTAATTTACTATAAGTTACGACACGTTTTAACGATACAGGAAATGTAAGGCACAGTGTCTAGTGTTTCCGGTTTTAGCTAATAAATAGGGACAATACATCTTTTAATTATTTTTTACGGCCACTGAAAATTCCCAAATTTTACCTTGTGTATTTTGGAAATAATGCCTCCACAGAGGTCGGATTTTGTCTTGACCGCCAACATCCCATACTGTAAAGCTAATGTTTTTATATTCTACTGTTTCCACGTTGAAACCTGGGAAAAAAATATAAGAATATTATCACTTAGTACAAAAATTATCACATTAACTAAATTTAAATTATTGGAAAGTGCAATGATGATGTTTAAATTCATTGATTTTTTTGGTCTGCTTTTAAGTTTCACTTTCGCATTGTTGAAATTTTAGCCTCTGCTGTTTTCACGTACATTTAGCTTTCAATCGGTTCTGCAGACACACTTCCATGACTATTTCAACACTCTTTCTACAAAGGATTTTGAATGTGGATGTAAAATTTCTGCTCTGTTTATTAGCTTGATCTTTGTAACCATCAACATCCCAACATTAAAATTTTATCCAATCACAATACACAGAGGGCATCATATGCGGCTTGCCATGCCAAAACCAGTATCAGTGACCAAATCTTGACATTCTAATACCTGTATATTCTTCAAAATGATAGGTCACTTACTGAAACCGCCAAAATTATGAGAAATAGTATTACAGCTTCTCTGTACTAAAGTATACAATACTGGCACATTCTTTCTAATTACTCAGTTTAACATATAGGGACAGTACGCTGGTTTTGGCATACCTCAGGCAAGGCAATTCAACAAAAGCATGCACATCTCCATTCTCGAACATAGCGTGTGCGTACAGTACTTTGATCTTTACTGTGGCATCGACAATCCGATACTAGTTGGGAGTACAGCCGTCAATTATTGGTCTATGCGTGCCATACGTTTTATGGTGTTAGTTACTAACGTTTGGGTACTTCGCAGTGTCTGTTATATTTGATTTCTTTTGACCACAAGCTTGTTAAATGCTTCTATAAACTGCAATTTGATTCATGAAAATTGACCAACAAAATGAAAAGTTATAGCAATTAAAATTTTAGGATTTTTTTTATAAAATTTCATATTCTTATATATGACATTAAACTTTCATTTTGACAATGTTGACAAAAAAAAACGAAACGACTAGGCGAGAAAGACAAGACGATTGTACACAAATCGTACGTACTGCATGCCTATTATAAATAGTTATTGTACAAACAAATCTGTTTTATGAACCACCAATTTCCTTGGTTTGACGACGTACATGAAATTTAGTGTCTGCTACAGCCTGCTTCAGTCTGTTTTTGACTTCCCAAGCAGTTTTTGAAGCAAAAAAATCTAGGCCTAGGTCGGCAAAAAATTGCCGTCCTGTAGCAATTCTGGCTCAGCAATATGGTCGGAAATTCATGGGCTGATGAAATAATGAACCTGTTACGTTAACAGCTATGATCTGCTAAAACAATGACTCAGAATAATGGAATCAAATATCAGTTTACATGCAACTAGCTTTGTGTTCTCATTAATTTTGACCATGACGAAAATTGTACCACTGTGCACAATATAAAACTCATTAGGTTTTAGTGAGATATTCCGTTTTCTTGGTCTTATGTTATTAGCATGCGCTCAGGAAGATTTGACCAAGTCGTGCTGATCGCTCTGGATTTTCCAACACGGTATGACTATACTAACCTGGTCAAATTTCCTGGGCACACTGGGGGAGTTTACAAAGTCACACTGAACTTTTTACAGTAAAGTTAATTGGTTGGTTAGTTTTACAGAAAATTTCCAGTGGCTTAAATATTAAGTGTTGGTTAATATTTAGATTTGATTGGATTGGACTGGATTTACAGTAGTCGGTGTAAACACCAAGAATAGCCCATGAAAGTCTAGAAGACGACTTACTTCTAGTGGGGTCCTTCTGGTGGTGAATGGGCAGTACACCGGGAGACAATCCCCCAATCTTTTCCGAAGAGTGTACTGCGTTCATTAAAGTGCACATGGGACATTAATGCACACAGGACCAACAGCTTAAACGTCTCATCCAAAAGACGGTGCGCTATTGTAACTTGTATTTCAGCCCTCCAGCTGAAACACAAGGAGAGGCAGTGATGGGAATTGAACCGGGGACCTATCATTACGGTTCAGCGCACAAACAGTGGCTATAACCAGATTAGCCGACTGAGCTAAGCTGCTCTCTCAAAGCAGCTTAGCTGAGTATTGCATGTACGTATGTATGTCACTTACCAATTGTTGGAATTGTTGTAACAATTTCTCCAAGTTTTAGCTTGTACAAAATTGTGGTCTTCCCTGCAGCATCAAGTCCAACCATCAATATCCTCATTTCTTTTTTGGAAAACAAGCGTGCAAATATACTTCCAAAATTACCCATCTTGCACCTAAATTAAAAAATTTTTTTAATCAATATTCCATATTATGGATCTATAGTACCAGTACAGTACTGTTGGTGGTTAGAATATGGACCTGGTTTTATAAAAAAAAATAAATAAATAATACAATTTATTTAATTATATTCTAAGGAACAACATGTTTAACTGTAATTAAAGATATAATTTACAAAACAAAAATTAAAATGCTAAATTTGTATTAAATATGGGTTAACATTCAACTGAAAACTGTGGATGTGAACTTGTACACTGTAGCTACTACAGTATAAACGCCTCTTTACGGCAACTAGGTAGTCTCAGACCACACCTACTGTACAGTGTATATGCAATTTAGCACAATAACCAACTGATGCACTAATTAACATAGAAGGAATTTACTCTAAATAATAAGAGTGGGGCCATGGTTCAAGGTTTCGACCTCTGAGTCATCTTCAGGTTTCAGGAATCTTTTTTCAAGCGATAAAGTATGAATATTAATAGAATACAAGCATAGCATATTGAGGTTAAGATATTTATACATTCCAACAATCCAACAGGAACGACATTCCCTACCACATACAGGCATTGTTAAAAGTAAAATTTAAAAAAAATATATATTTAATTTAAATTACAAAATATTGACAAATTTAAATAAAATAAACAATTTAAAAAGCACCATCAGATAGACCAGGCTAGCCCAAATGATATAAAAAAGGTACAGTAATTAGCCAAAAAATATTAATAAATGTAGTTAGTATGGCTAAAAATGTTCACATAACAATGACATCGACTGATTGGCAAACACTTCCGTCAACACACGCTGGGATGGAGGGTGTTGGCCTGTTTCGACTGCAAACAAGTTCGACCGCGATGTATGGAACACATTTTTTGTATTGTAACAATGTAAATAGTGTACAGTATAATGTATGTTCAGTCAATTCGATTCATTGAATGACTAATAATATTATAATATATCATAATTAATAGTACTGATTATTATATAGTTAATACATATCATGGCGCTAATGCACTTTAATACTCCACCCTAAACCTAACCTTAACCTCAGCTGCAGTATTACTATGTTATTGTTAAGGTTAGGGTGGAGTACTAAAACTAAAGTTCATTAGCGACCATATCATGATTATTGACTTAAAGTAATAAAATAACTGTGGAAAAGGCAAACAACATGTTTCATTTAGGCCTAGGCATATTACGTCAATTCGCCAGGGAGAGCCGAGGTCTAGAACTTTGGGCCTAGGGGCCTACTCTAGACTCCTCCTTCCTCCTACCTACACCTAGGCCTAGCGTCGATTCATACATTACCAAAGTCTCAAGAAACGAGCGTACTGTATTTAAACCAACTTAACATTCTCACTGCACTCACTGGTGTGGTAACTGATGATGATGATATTGTAAAATAAGGATAGGCTAGGCCTAGTGTATTTTAATAATAATAAGACAAACAAATCACACTTAATTCCCTAACACTTCGCCGTCAAACTGGTTCGCGGCCGAAACGGATGGCTTTCTTCGGATGGGTGGAGATGATGACAACAACAGTGTACTAGCCAAGGCGAGGCCAGCAGGCTAGGCCTAACTAAAAAGTCTGTAGTCCTAGTAAAGTAAAAAACAGAAGGAGGGATATGTCTATTTGGCTATCACTATGATTAAATTGTATATAACTAAATTTACAACTGTATAAAGGTTCTATCTTACCGTTATACTAACTAATATACAGTTCAAAAATAAAATTAGTATAGCTTAAAAACGTCGCAGGCCTTCCCTCAGTAATTACTGTTGTCAAACCGGTAATAACTGTATTCACTTCCTCCCTAGCGGCGGTTCAAAAATGGCGTCGCAAAAAAAGAGGCGAGTGAGTTGGTTTGGTTCACGTGGCACGCGTCAATCTACTTTTTCCGTAATTGGGATATGAGCATTTGTCAATTGCTATACCCCAACCACGTGATATTGGGTTACGCGGTTATTACATAGCCATGCTCTTAATTTCATTTTTTCTATTTATTCGACCATAAAAATAAATACATACAGAAAAGATATAAACAATAGATAAGTATAATTCAGGGGCAACAGCTGTCAAATACTGCCTATAGTTAAGAATATAGAAGGGCATATATCTTGGTATCTTTTTATTGAACACAAAAATGTCACTCAGCTACAAAAATAAAACGTAGGCCTATGTAGGCCTATATGTAGGCCTAACTCATGAATTGGACATTAATTTAAAAATATGATTATAGAATTAAAAATTACTTAAAATCAACCACAACAGCAATATCATATCAAAAAAACATTAATGGTATTACTCAGAAAAAAAATTGTTAATATAAATTAAGCCTAATTAATACAAGACAATACTTAAAAAAAAGCTGAAAAAACCATATATTTATGTGTAAGTTTAAGTTATAATAAATTCAAAATATTAATTAGAAAGAAAAACTTTAAAAAGGCCTATAAATAAAGTACTGTAATAGTACATAGGCGTAGATCCCGGGGGAGGGGATGGGGATATATCCCGCAATATTTGACAAGGGTGGGGGGGGGGCTGGTCCATTGTATCATCCCCCCAATATTTTGAATATGTATGGCATAAAATGGAGCTTTACACATTCAAAGGACTGTCACAGAAATAATTTGCACTGTCTTATGCGCTTACAAAGATTAGCATAATGTATTAATGTTTTATCTGGTACCAATCTATGCTCTTCTTTCCTTAGATGTTAGATATGATTGCAAAGAGAGCCACATTTCACACTGAATGTTAATGTTTAAGGTTATATCGGTTGATGAGGAATTTATTGATTAGGCCTATAATAGCAAATTGCATCAATTTATTTTGCAAAAACAAGGTTTCCAGCTTCAGAGGGGGAACATCCCCTGTCCGCACAAGGGCACACATTGGCGAGACACCAGGCGCGTAACAGTGGTCTTGGGTCAGAGTGGGTATTTATTTTCCCGGTTAGTAATTTACCATACCCACCCCGCCCCACTCCCCATATAGAAAACAGTACGACATAGGGCTTATCTTATTTATAATATAGGCCGCACACGTGTGTTTGAAACTAAATATAGACCTAAGCATTTTCATCATATGGTTTTATTTATTACAAACATATTCTTTCACCATCAGTACACATTGAGGCCCTTCTTAGGTTAAAACGATCTATCTTAAGTTTGTCTTTCTTGAGTTCGGGACTATTAAGTGTTTAAATAACTTAAAAGCATAAATATTTTTGTGTTTGTAATTCTAATTTCGTCGGAATTGATGAAAACTCCCTAAAATGTGCAATGTATAGGGCCGAGGAAATTGGCCTACCGTTACAAGAAATGCGCGCAAACAATTTGAGAATTTTGGGCACTTTCAGAGGATGCATTTGTCAAGGGGTGCGGAAAGACTTTCCAAAGATGGATTTTCCCCAATTGTCCCCCGGTGTTTTTAATTCTAATTTCGTTGGAATTGGTCAAAACTCCCTAAAATGTGCAATTTTTAGAGGAAATTGGCCCATGTTAACGCGCACGGTTTTTAGGCACTTTCAGGGGATGAAAAGGGCATTTATAAAGGGGTGGGGAAGATTTTTCCTCCAAGACAGATATTTCCCCCTTGTCCCCCAGTGGTTACGCAATTGGGCAGCATAGATCAAAGGAGTTATGACAGTTTTTAAAGTGGAGAAGGGGTTGCAGGGTGTTGTGAGTCTGGTCATTATGATATCTTCCTTTTTATTCTTGTCTTTCTTTTTCTCTTCTCTTTTTCTTTCATTTTCTTTTCCTCTTCTTTCTCTTTCCCTCCCTCTCCCCTCTTTCTTTTCTCTTATTACCCAGCCCGGTACGACGGCTTGTTCAGCCCGGTAAAAACAGTCAGGAAAGGGAAGGGGAAGTTTCCCCCTGCCCCCTCCCCGCGCCTGTTACGACACCTGTCTCTTATACACAAAAATATTTTTCTACGCCACTAAATAGTAGTAGGCCTAGTTCAGGTAGACCTAAGTTAGCCTACTAGTAGGCTATGGTTAAAGCAATAAAAAAAAACATCGGAGCTACAGCTAATTCTGAGGGGGAGGCAAAAGAGAACTTCAGGAAGATTGGCAGTGACGTGTGAAGTGGCAGAGTTGACAAGATAGATGGTTAATACATTTTCAGCAGGGGGCGTGTGGATTAAAATACAACATTATTATAGTCACCACTATATGGAGGCCTATGGTAGTCAAGACATTGACTGAGTGATTGCGGATACTCAAATCTTAACCATAAATTTATGTCGCAACACAATTCACTTTGCTTTCTATCAATTGTCAATAAGAAAGTAATAAAAAGTAAAATGTTTCAATATTGTATTTCAATTCCCGGTTAATTATAATTATCATGGGAAATCTATTTCAATCAAATTGGACGGGTTATAAAGGAAGACCGAGATTTAGGACCACGTGATATACGGTACTGTAAATAAAAATTACGATATTTTTGGATGGACATTTTGTGAAATGAAAGCCAATTAATCGTTAACATGTTGTGTCTACAACGAAGTGCGAATTAAGACCTGGAAAATAAATATTTCTAAATCATGAGTCGTTAAAACCGCCTAGTGACAATAAAAATGAATAAAGTATTATTGTTATTATTATTATTATTATTATATTATTATTATTATTATTATTATTATTATTATATTATTATTATTATTATTATTATTTTATATTATTATTATTATCATTATCATTATCATTATTATTATTATTAATAAATATTATTAATATTATTATTATTATTATATTCTCTGGAATTCTGACGTGCGAATCAATATTCATAGTCGTTCAATTATAAGTCATCTCATGTAATTCAGCCCTGTGCTGCTATAGAGACTCAATATATGATTGCGAAAAGTATTAGGCCACGACCCATGAAAGACATTCCACCCCGCCCCCACTCCTAGTACTAGAATAATTCGTTGTTTCAGGTTGTTTCTATGCCTTGTTGTAATTGTATTAATTTGATATTCATCATTTTTTTAAAGTAAAATTATATTTTCAGTTGATAATACGTTTCATATTTTTATAATTGAAACTTTGCAACTTTTGTATGGATCGAACCCACTGATCTCATCGGTAGGCTATAATAGATCAATGAGGGACTCTTCTTGTGTGGAGTGCGAATTCCAAGTGGAGAACCAATAAATCTTACATTTCCTTAAAGGTAAGATAGGCATATTATTTAACTGTCCGTTGATTGATGTAAAATTTTTTTTCTCATTTTCATTTTTTTTAAATTGTTGATAACTTACTTAAATAAACAATTAATTAAGCTCTTCAAATATCTCTTGATCCTTTTCTATTTCCGTTTCCGCCAGCCGGGAATATGGAAGGCAATCACCGCCAGCAATACAAATTTATACAACGTATTTTTACAAACAAACAATGCATTTTGACAAAAACGAACAACGTATTTTTACAAATAAACAACGTATTGACAAACAGTGTGTTGTTATAGACGAACAACTTATATTGTCACACGAACAATTACATACCACTCGAACAACGTATTTTCTCAAACGATGTAAATTTTCAAATGAACAACGGGCTCGTCCATTTTTAAAGTCGGGTAGTTGTTAAAGTGAGTAGGTCTATCGGTCACTCTGAAAGAAGAATGTCCGGTGTACAGTCCCAGAGCTACACAATTTTCTTTAAAATGGCCGGCAACAAATCGGTACCGTATCAGAGTCATTTAGTGAAGCAGTTAGACTATTAAACAGAGAAGTCGAACTTCTAAATTAACCTGGAAATTGCCATTCTCTTGGTAATTATTATAATTTCTTTTTTATTTTGTGGCACAGACACAAGTTTAATATTGGCAACACTAATTGTACTAGTTCTAGTAGCGGTGATGGTGGTTGGTGGGACACTCATAAATAAATAAATAATAATTTTTAAAAAAATCAATAATTCAAGCGCGTAGAGTAAGACAACAGTGGATACGTACGTGTGCTATGTATTACTATCATCATCATCATCATCATCATCACCATCATCATCATCATCATCATCATCATCATCATCATCACCATCATCATCATCATTATTATAGTGGAGCTTAAAATACATATCAATCGAACGGAAATCCTCAGTGAAAAATCATGCACTTATCTATAGGCCTTTTGAACCACCCAGGATGCAGACATGGACTAAATATTATTAAAACGAGGACTATATACCGAATAATTGTATTTGCTTTATATATCACAGAGAATTAATTTTACATGACGATACTGTCCAAAATATGTGTGTATATGTAGGATAGAAATTAAATATACTAACCATTCATCCCTGATATTCTACTTAGGGCAAGTATTCTAAAAATCATAATTTTACAATGAATTTTAAAATTAAAGCCCTATTTCCCTCAATTTCATTCACAGAAAGAAATTCTTCGAAAAATGGAAGGGTATATAAAATGCATTAAACGATCATTTACTCGTGAACACTATTGAAAATAAATTCCCAATCATTCATAACAATGTAAAAAAGATAAGTCCAATATCAAGCATATTCAATTCTTGAATTTTAACAAGTCTTTGATACAGCAGGTACCATATTTTCATCAGTTCACAAAATAGAACGCGCGCCCGGATCATATCCCTGAGCGGCTGTGAGCAGTTTTTCTTCTTGAAAGCATTTGAAAGTGCAAAAAAACGGGAAAACAAATTCTTCAATGAGATTATTTTTAATATATAACTGAAATTTGCCTTTCTGTTGCCTCTTCAACCTTAAGCAAATAGATCGGTGTTATAGGCAAAGTTATAATTTTCACGTTGTAAGTAAAATAGACTCCTCAAAGCCGCCTCAAATCCGCTGAAAACACGCTCATATCCCTTATATTTTCGTAGTTCAACCAAAAACAAATATTTTGTAAATTATTTACAATAGATGTTTTACAACCTTCTATAAACAGTCTCAACCTAAGTTATCCGACCTCTAGTTTTTGTAGTAAAATCAGGCGATGTTTTTGAAGAAATGGTTAAGAGATAGGCCTATAAGGATTTTCATGGCGGCACATTTGCAGTTAATAAGTGGACCAAACAAATTGATATGAAATAATAAAACAATGGCAATCAAACAAACATGTCTGTATAATCATGAGGATGCTGGTTGGTTGGGCTATAATAGAGCACAAAACAAAAAAAGAAATTATAATAATTACCAAGGTGGTGATTTCCACTATTAACTGCTTCACTAAATGACTCTGGTACTGAGTTGTTGCCGGCTATTTTTAAGAAAATTGGACGTTCTTCTTTCAGAGTGACAGATAGACCTACATTTTAGCAGTTACCCGACTTTAAAAATGAGTCTTTTGTTCATTTGGTAATTTACATCGTTTTGGGGAAATACGTTGTTCGTGTGTAAAAGCACATCGTTTGTCAATATACATTGTTTGTTTGTAAAAATACGTTGTTCGTTTGTAAAAGTACGTTGTTGGAAAAAGTACGTCGTTTGTGTAAATTTGTATTTTTGGCGGTGATTGCCTTCCATAGGCGAAGTCAGTCCATGTCTCAGCGACGAAAGAGAGAGTGAGTGATGTAAACAAATCGTGACGACTTGTAGTCGTCGTATGCGGTGAAGAAGTATCGAGTGAGGTTTTAGTGTTATGTTATGGCTGAAGTTAAAAAGGGTGGGATATTCATCCTTCATGTTGTTGTGGTTGGATTTCATCACAAAAGAGGTTGTCAGGTAAGACTAAGAGGGTGTTGTGTCTGTTCTCTAGGCCCACGCTAGTCCCCCTCCCTCTGTCTCTCTAGGCTGGGGCCTGCTTACCCTCCTAGGCCTCTAGAAAAGGCTAGGCCTAGCTTGGCTGCGATGCAAGCGACGTCAGCTGGTTGGTAGGCTAGGATAGGCCTGGGGTAGAGACTAGTCTAATGAGAGTCGGGTTCTCTATACGCTTGTTATTAGGCTAGTTAGGTCTAGTCAAATCCAGTGTTTTCAGCTTGTCTTGCCTTGACTAAAAATATTTGATCACATGAACACAGGTCATCAAACAGACAAGGCCTAGTACTAGTAGTAGGCCTATCTTTTTCCATTATTAACAACATAGGCCTAGGTAGGTAGCCTAAATATATAATATTAATATAATAAATACAAAACAATGTGTAAAAATATGGATTGTGGTGATAAAATAATAATGGCTAAGGGCAAATAGAAAAATTTATTTGATTATCACTCCCGCCCGGGTCAAAAATTCGGGAAATATTGATGCAGGAATAAAAAAATATTTTTTTAGCTGCATCAATTATTTTGAACAGCATAAAAATAACAATGCAATTTTGTGACTTCAAATACATTTTCTTTAAAAAACTATAAAATTAAACCATTTTTTATACAATATTTACTATTACTAGCCAAATATATACAGTCCCTCACTCATCGATAAAAACAGAGCGAAATAATCTATTGTTCAATCAAAAAAAAAAAAAAAAAAAACCGCCCTCCCTTATTGATTTTTTTTTTTAAAAGAGTGATAATCTAATGTTTTTTTCTATGTGCCCTAAACTAGGCCTGTGACTGTGTAAGTGATAGGATAGTCTAATTGTTAAATATACATGAATAGGCTGGAAATAACGAGTACATCAAGGCTAAATAAAAAAATTTCTTGTTTAGCGTCACATCACATCACATCAACACAATTTTAGGTGGGGAGGGGTTTTTTTTTTTTTTTTTTTAATTCTACAGTATCAGTAATCAAATAAAATGTGTTAAAATTAATCATTTTTAATAGGCCTACAATAAATATTACACCTAGTTGGTGAAATCATTGTTTTAATTCACTTAAAATAGGTCTATACTTATTTTGATTAGAATTTTCTGGACAATATTCATTTTTTTATTTAAAAAAAAATTCCCGCCTCTAAACTTTTTATTTTGCTTGAAAATTCAAGTGGAGGTGGTGACGCTAAACAAGTATATATATTTTTTTTGCTTAAAAGGGAACTAGCAAACTGATTTTTAGTTCTAGAGGGGAATTTTGATATGCCGTTAATATTTAATATAATCTACCTTAAAATCGCTTTTTGGCAATTTCTTTTGGAGTTATAGGCCATTGAATACAATTTAATCCTGACGTCACTGGCGAAAAAGGTAACAAAAAATCGTGTAAATAAAACCGTGTAGGGTATCCGCCGCGTACGATCTTTGCGTGCATGCTGTAACCATAGCTGTAATTCTTCTGAAGACAACCGCTGATGTAGTTATAGGCCTATGACTTGATATGCAAGTTACAACAACCATGGTTACAGCATGCACGCAAAGATCGCACGCGGCAGATACCCTACGTGGCGCTATTTACACGATCTTTTGTTAATTTTTTCGCCAGTGACGTCACGGTAAAATCGTATATAATGGCCTATAACTTAATAACCAATTAACAAAAAACGATTTTAAGGTTGGTTCTATTATTAATGGCATATCAAAAATCTCCTGTAGGACAAAAAATCATTTTGCTAGTTCTCTTTTAAGTTGAAATTTTAAACGTTTCTTTTCTCACTTACAAATTCCTCTTCTTTAACTTTCAAAATTTATATTTGATTATAGCATTACCGCAAGATGTTGATAAAGTGACAGGCCGTCAAGGCGAGCTCTGCATACCCAAACTTAAAAAGAAAATATTTTATTGTGCCTTTTTCTCTGTTTTATTAGCATTTCTTAGACAAAATCTTCTATACCAACCTTAATTTTTTGAGTTGACTGCATTGCTAAATTTCATTGGGATGTCTAAGTTAATATTATTTGTTTTTAAATTTTACACCTTTTTGGTATCTAGGATAGTAGAATAGACGGGCCTATCACGTCATACAATCAGCTGCATGGTTGGTTTTCAATACCAGCCAGCAGTACCTTACAATTGTTAAAAATTCAATTAGACTTCTAACCATGTGGGAGTGTAAGGATAGCAGCTTTAACACTGGATCTTAAGCACATGCTCCTCTTCTCACCGATTCTCTACATTTACTAGCCTAATCAGGCTTCCACTGCCGAATGGGTAATTTGTATTTTCAGACATTCTAAGATCTCAATGATTAAAGTTAAAATATATCTGCATACAGATAGAAGAAACTTGTATATGGTAATTTAAATTTTAACTTGTTAAACGTACTGAAATAATAAATGTTTCGAGGAGAAATTACAGCCATGCAGGTATAAAAAGCAACATATGGGTTTTTATTTATTGTTGGTCATCGTAGTCAAAAAAACATCTTAATTTTACAATTCAGCAATTTAATTTTGTCCTATACAGTAGTTTAAATATTGCATACAGAAATTGCAACAAAATGACAGTATATAAGCTGAATATGTACTTCTAAGTCAATGGTGATCACCTTAGTCAGCACTGAATATACACCACTTTCGACGATGTAAACAACTAATTACCCACTCGGCCAAATTTTGATGACGTCATCTTAGGTGACTATAAAATCAGTCTATTCTACTGTCCAGAGCAGAAAATTAATAGAATGTGTTGAGAATGATATTGCTTCCAATAGTTTTGTTTACATGCATTTAGGGGTGGAGGGTGGGGGGTATTCGATGAAATCATTTATTCCAAATGTTACTATGGAGAGGGCGTTTATTCAAATAAATATGGTATTTGTAATTTAATGTTATAGGATGAAGTCTTGGACTGTAGGCCAAAAGTAGATGAAACTTTTCCTACTAACAGCCCCTAGCATACCCTACATATAGGTTACGTATATCTCATCGACTGGTATGTGACTTATTTTAACACAGGTGGATTTCTCCTACCCACCACTTATTGATGGAGAGGCTGAGAACAGTTCAGAATTACCAGAGGAATGGAAATACCTACCATTTTTAGCTCTTCCTGATGGAGCTCACAACCATACCGAAGGTAATAAACATTGTATTCAAATTATAATCATTTCTGCGTGTCTTGTCTGTGACTGGATATCAGAATCAGAAAAAAAATACAATATTACTAATAAAAATAGAGAATCAAACTATAATAGTTATACAGGAGGTACATAGT